GGACGATAGGGCTGGAATTGGAGATACCCCGCTCACTTGGGAAAAATACGGATCTATAGTCAAAATATTAGAATTCCTGATAAAAATTTGAGTAGTAGAATATGATGGGTTGTGTGACTTTTTTTGTTACATCTATATATAGACGATGCATTAAAATATAGGGTGTCCAACGGTGCGTTTAGCACAGCGCTCTATATGAGACTATTAAAGGAGATATATGCTGATTATAAATATATAATAAAAAATATGAATATATGTATATGATGAGTAAGTTGTATTTTGGCGCCATGCCGGGATATAAAATGAATTTTGAGACAAGAGGCGGTTTCGTGGGAAATTTTGGCGGTTTTTTTTCATTTTTTTAATGAATCATAAAGAAAACATCCTCGCTCTTGCAAAAAAATGCAAAGACTGTAAAAAAATCTACGAGACATTGGTAAAATGCTTCGGTATGGATGCTCCTAGCTATTCCACTGTAACGTATCATGTTAGGATGTATCACTTCATGAACAAAAAGGCGCCCATCATAAAAATTGACAAAAAATCGCCGGATCAAAGAAAAATCAAAGCAATTCTTCAAGCGCTAGATGAAGACCCAAGAGCATCACTCAGAAGGATAGAGGAGATGACAAAGATACCACGTACAACAGTCAGTTATTATCTGCACAATTATTTGAACTACAAACTAGCGTATACACGTTGGGTTCCGCACAACCTTAATTCAGTTCAAAAAAAATCTAGAGTCCAATCTTCGAAAGAGCTCCTCTCTATATTGGGTGCGTATCAATCCAAGAAGTTTCGCTTTTTAGTAACAGGGGACGAGTCTTGGTTTCAATATGCAACAGAAGCCAAAATCATGTGGATCCGAAGGATGAAAATCCGCAAACATTCCCGAAGAAAAAAATTGACACACCAATGATGATGTTGTCGGTTTTTTGGGGCGTGAATGGCATCATCGCAATTGATATTCTTCAAAAACCTAATACGATGAATGCTCAGTATCTAATTGACAATGTTCTTACTCAAATTATCAATTCTGATGAGTTTGAGAAATCCAAACAACAAAAACAAAAGTTTGCAATTCATTTTGATAATTCAAGAGTTCACAAAAGTCATAAGGTAATGAATTACTTGGTGGAAAACAATGTCAAAGTTGTTCCAAACCCAATTTATTCACCTGGTATTGCACCCTCTGACTTTTATTTATTCGGCACGCTAAAAAAGAGAGCTGAAGGACGCGAATTCGCGAGTCCAGATGATCTTGAAAATTTTGTAAGAGAGCAATTTGAGCAATTTTCTCATGATGATTTAAAGCGTGTCTTTCAAGCCTGGATCGATCGCTGCGAACGCGTGATTGAATCCAATGGTGATTATATTTAAATAAACTTTATATATATGTAACTTGTTTATTTCTATTCGCAGTATTCAGGTTTGTGCTAAACACACCTTTGGACACCCTATATATTTATTTAAAAAATTAACATTAATTTTAAAATAATTTATTTTTTTATCTTTTATAAAAGAAGCTATATATAGATGATGTCAGATATTCCGCGATTAATTAAACATTGTTTAAATCCTGAATGGAATCAATGGAGTCATAATCAAAGACCTCATAAACGAGAAGAAGAAATTGAAAATAAATATTTTCATGAATGAAAGATTCACTACCATAATGAAATAAAAAAATAAAAAAATAAAAAAATTTTTAAAAATTCATGTCTTACGAAAAATTAAACGCAAGACTATCAAAAGATAGAGTTGAAAGAGTAATGGTAATGATGAAGATGAATTTGATGAGTTCAACATTGAACTTTAAGAAACTAATGATTATTTGAATTTATGAAATCAATTATTTGATTCATTCTTTCTTCAATCTCTTCTATTCTTTTTGTTAAATCATCAATTTTCATTAATGAGGTGATTCTTGATTGAGGAATAGATTTCAAACTAACCACTCCTTTTATTTTTGAAATTTTGAATCCATCAACTTTAAACATTTTATTCAATTTACACGTTGTCAATTCTTCAAATAATTTTTTATTGTTAGCATAATAGTCATTAAATTCTTCAACAGATGAAAAAATTTTTATTTCAGTAATTGGTTTAACAATGTTTATTTTTTGTTGAACATTTTCACTTTCATTTATTTCTTCCTCCTCTGTTTCATTTATTTTTAAAATTGGTTTCATTTATCATTAAATAAAAATTAGAATATAAGTGATGAAATATATTTTTTAATTAATATTAAATCAGAAATGGCGGCAGGATTCTTTAAAAAATTATGGGATGGAATTAAGAAAGCTGCGGGTTGGGTTCATAAAAATATTATTAAACCTGTAGCAAACTTTTTGGCACCAGTAGCGAAAACGGCGGGAACTATCATAGGTGGAGTATTAGGTACTAAAGCAGGTAATCCGGCGATGGGAGCACAAGCAGGTAACGCAATTGGTGGAATAGCTGAAGGAATACTTAATAAAATAGGAGGTAGATAGTGGAAAAATAAATATTATTTTTATCTTAGTATCGGTTGAAGTCTTTGATAAACTTTTTCTCCTTTATTTAAAATTTCTCTTATTGGGGCAGCTTTTGGCGTTATTGATTCAGCAACGTCACTAATTGCTTCTTTATTCTTAAATATCCAATTTGCTCCTTTCTTCATTGTTTCCCAAACTTTATGCGCTCCTCTTTTTACTTTATCCCATAATTTTTTAAAGAATCCTGCAGCCATAGTTGATTATTTCATTAAAATTAAAAATTCATTTTCATCTTTTAATTTTGATTTTTTATTTATTAAATAAATGACGACTAACTATTTGGTGCCAAACACTAAACCGATTAATGGAAATGTGTTTCATTCATTCGAAAAGATAAATGAAATATTCGCAAAGAATGACGGTAGAAGATATTATAGAGAACTTGAAAGTTCATGCTATGACTCTGATGCTCCATATTTTGATGATAAACAAACTCATTTAAGAATTACAAATCCGGCTCATGATGTGAACCAATTAGGTGACACATATATTAAACGCAAAGTTAAAGCAACTCTAGTTTCAAATAAAGCTTTCACATGTGATGCCGCTTTTAAATGCATGCGTTTATTCGTTGGTTACAAATCATCAAATCAAAGCTTTAAACAATTAGAAGTAGAAACCGAAAGAGGTGATGCTGGTTATCTTCAGATGGATTGCGCCCGTGAATCTTTCGCATTTGCAACATATAAACCAAAATCAGAAAGGAAAGTTAAAAAGTTTGTTCATTCGTTATATAATAATGTTCAAAAATATGATAACTCAGTATGTGGTAAATATATTGACCCTTCAGAAGTTTTCAAGAAAGCAATGAAGAAGTTGATGTCACTTTTGATATGATTATTCCGGTAAATGATTTGTTAGCATTTCAGGCGTTCGATGATTATCCTAAATCATTTGGTGATATCATTCTTAAATATTATGTTTTCAGGGATACTTTAGTATTTTGTCAGGTTGACCCGTTAAGAGTTGCTGATTTACAAAATTACGTTTATGAAAAGATAACTGATGAAAATTATGAAAAGATTATGAATCATGTTTATAAATATGATCGCAAATTCCAACAAATCGGACTTCCTGCCAAATTAATTACAAGCTTAGCCGCTACATCTGCTGACGCAACAGTTGATGACGTTATTATTTCATGCACAAAGATGGAAGTTTTAGAGGATAAATGCATTACACCAGGATACGGTTTAATTGAAGAATCAGTTAAAGCAATACCACGTTTATTTAGTAAGGAAGATCCATTCATGATTCCAGCTCAACATATTGACGTTCGTTCACTAAATGGAGGTTGCATCACTCCTGAAGGTATCAGCTCAGATTTCTCATACGCTCTTCATAATGTTACAGATGTTGTGTTAACATTTCCGAAGAATGCAATGCAAAGAACGGTTTTAGAAAATCCAATGCTTCGAGGTCTTCAGGTCACTATAGATTCCAGAAACTTCCCCGATCAAGCGATGACCACAGTGGGTGACATATTCTTTACACGTATGCTTCAAGCTTCTGATTTAGATGGAGTGAATGAATGCACAGAAGAATACGAGGACTCATTAACTAGACCACTGAATGATTTCAAAGCGTTGAAGTTTGCGAGTCTATCTTCACCAACATTCTTGAGTTCATTAAGTACAAGAAACATTTTATTCTCAACTACTGAATTGAAATTACCCGTTAGCTCACTTATTTCAGTAATGTTTTTACATGAATAACCGGCGAGGAGTTCAGAAATAATGTCTGTAAATCTGTTTTTACCTGTTCCCTGAAGTCCTTTCAAAATAATTGCTGTTTCATTCTTGATTCCTGGATGTTGAATCATTGATGCAATCCAGCCGAGAAGGTATTTATACACTTCATCGTTATTATCACAAATGGCTTCTTTAATGAAATTCATAAACATCTCAATTTTTGAGTAATCAAGCTTTTCGAGAATGTTGTATTTATAACCTTGAAACGTTGAGAAAACATCTGGAGAATCAGATTTAAAGCAAACACCCTTAACGGTTAATGAAGACAATTGATTTAATAGTACGTCCCATGCTGTTATTGTTTTACCTTCTTCTTTAAATAATTTAATCATTTTAAGTGACTCTTTCATGTTTGATTGAAGAACGAATGATATTTGATTCATTTTGTCGTGGATATTATAGTCCTTTTGAATGAAGTATTTGTTTCCATAATCTACAAAACGGATTACACGTGATAAATCCTCAATTACTTCAGAACTGTTTTTATACTGATGATTTTCAGCCTTGCGTCTAATATCTGTTATCAAAAACGAGTCATCAAGTTTTATATCAAATGTTATTTTTGGCTTACGTAATAAAGGTAAAACATATTCATCATAATATTCCTTTTGGTATAGTTTTAGAATCTTCACTAAAACAAATGGAGAAGTCATTAAATGTGCATATCTACCACGTGCTTTTTCAAAATTACTTTTTGCATTTTCTGTTAAACTGCAGAAGTTATAAACGTTATCGTATGCTTCATTAATTAAATGATTAGGTAACGAATTAATTGCTTGAAACAGTGTGAATAATGTTATTTCTTTTTCCAAATTCATGTTCCCACCGTCATTATGTACTTCAAAATCACAGATGCCATCAACTATGCTCTGGGCAAGTTTATCGTCAATGTTTACATCTTTGTTTTCATTCATTATACTCTTTATTTCTTCGTTCTTTTGTTCAACTCTTACCTTAATATTCAAATCATTTAATATATCATTCACTGTTCTGGTTAATGTTGAATCATAACTTCCGCGAATGAATGAGTATGTATTGATTGGTTCTGATGCATTCTTGCGAACTCTTGAATCAGCCATAACTACTAAAGAACGCTTTGAATCATCAATAGAAGTCATTATGTCAATATCATAATCATTGCAAGAATAACATTTAATCATTCTGTTCGAAACTGCATAGAAGAAATTAGTGTTGCAATAAATGTGAAGACCTCCTGAAGCGGTTTTAACGATAACATCTTTATCCGAAAGTTTTGATAAAATATCTTTTCTAACTGTTTCTTTAAGTTCATCATTGTATGATTTATTGATATCAACATCTATAATCGTTAAATTTGAAATTTTATTTACTAATAAAGCCATACCAGTTTTCCTTCCTCTTCCTCCATCGTGTTTGAGGTAGTTATGTAAATCAATCTTGTTTTCACCAATTCTTTCGTTGAGGGTTTTAGTTTCTGCCACAACTAATTCCTCAGCTAATGAATCAATAACTTGTTCATCAGAAATGATAAAGTTATTGTTGTTGTTTGTTGCTGTCATTTATATAGGAATAAAAAAATAAAAATAATTTTAAAACTAACTTTATTTTTGGACTGCATCAAATTTCCAGGACTGTTGTCTAAATGTCATGTTGTCTCATTTTTTCAGAGAAGTTCATTAACCTGGTAGCACATGGTAACATGGTAGCACCTTCAGTTCTTCAAAAATAATTCATAACTGCCTTCCTCCTGTGTTGTTGTCTAAATGTCATGTTGTCTCATTTTTTCAGAGAAGTTCATTAACCTGGTAGCACATGGTAACATGGTAGCACCTTCAGTTCTTCAAAAATAATTCATAACTGCCTTCCTCCTGTGTTGTTGTCTAAATGTCATGTTGTCTCATTTTTTCAGAGAAGTTCATTAACCTGGTAGCACATGGTAACATGGTAGCACCTTCAGTTCTTCAAAAATAATTCATAACTGCCTTCCTCCTGTGTTGTTGTCTAAATGTCATGTTGTCTCATTTTTTCAGAGAAGTTCATTAACCTGGTAGCACATGGTAACATGGTAGCACCTTCAGTTCTTCAAAAATAATTCATAACTGCCTTCCTCCTGTGTTGTTGTCTAAATGTCATGTTGTCTCATTTTTTCAGAGAAGTTCATTAACCTGGTAGCACATGGTAACATGGTAGCACCTTCAGTTCTTCAAAAATAATTCATAACTGCCTTCCTCCTGTGTTGTTGTCTAAATGTCATGTTGTCTCATTTTTTCAGAGAAGTTCATTAACCTGGTAGCACATGGTAACATGGTAGCACCTTCAGTTCTTCAAAAATAATTCATAACTGCCTTCCTCCTGTGTTGTTGTCTAAATGTCATGTTGTCTCATTTTTTCAGAGAAGTTCATTAACCTGGTAGCACATGGTAACATGGTAGCACCTTCAGTTATTCGAGACGTTGTCGAAGAGGAATAAAAATTAAATTTGGATTGAGTTTAAAAATTCATCTTTATTAAATTCATCTCTTCCAATCAATTTATTTATTCTATTAAATTCTTTTATTTTTGCCTCACTCAGTTTAAGGATTGAACGGTAAGTTTCTAATTTTTCGATTATTTCCTTCTTCTCTTTATCGTTTTCAATTACTTTAGTTTTATGGGCATCAACCCCACCGCATTGCGACTTCTTTTTGTAATAGCATATTTTTGATTTAATTCTGTTTAGTTTCTTTTTATATTCATCGTCTGGACTCTGAATCTTAATTAAATCAGGACTCTTGGCTGCTTTGTTGTCACTCATTTCTTACGAAATAAAAAAAAATTAAATATTATTTAAATATAATGGAGTAATAAAATAAATCGGAATTTCTATTAATTTATTGTCAACTTCAACTAATACATTGCCGTTAATATATCTAACAAATTCAGCTATTGTGTCAAATCTTCGTCTTCTTTTTGTCATTGATTTATTAGTTTTTCCATAATCGAGATGAATCAAAACTTTATCCCCTTGTTTAAAATTCATGAGCCCCGAATTAATTTGTTCACGTTTAACATCATTCAACCTTTCCATTTGCTTTCTAATATATTCCCATTCTTTTGAAATATCATTTTTCATTTCCACTGGTTTCATGTTTATAGTTCTATGCCATGTATTATTATAATAATATACTAACTGTTGTATGATGGAGTCATGATTTCCATCCCAGTATATCTGACCGTTAACCCCTAACGCATCTCTAAGAGTTCTCATTACCGCATCAACTATTTTATTATGAAACGTATATGGAGAGGATGAAAAGAAAAAATTAATTTGTGGGAAATAATGAGTCATAGTTGCCTGAAATCCTTTATCACCATCACCCCTGATATTATCTACTCTTTCATGATCTAGTAAGTATTGAATAGCTCTTCTTGTTTCCTGTTCTGTTTTCCCTTTCACTGGAATGCAATATAAATATCTAGTGTTAATGTTAATGGCAAATAAATAAGTAACGTTTCCTTTTGAATATTCTAAATGATCGATTTCGTATGAATATGGATATGGTGCAAATGAAGGGCGACTAAATTTTTCCTTTAACGGTTGAATTTTCGGGTCAATTGGTTTATTTAATATCTTGAAATCCTTTTTAAAATCTTTTTGCTTCTTTAATGTTTGAAATGGATATAATAAAGTGAATGATGAAGGATTAACTGAAGGAGGAGGCGGTACTGTCGTTGGAGGTTTTGGTGTTGCAAGTGGTTTAATTTTATCTGCTTTGATTTTGGATGATGAAGTTTTGGAATTCATTCCCCCCTTCATTAATTCTGGATGTATTCTATTCATTTGTTTTAAATATGCTGTATATAAAGGTTTGATATACTTTCCCGCTTCGAGTTTATGTTGAAGGATGAATTCCAAAAGTTGATCTTCATTTAAAAGTCGGGCTGAATATGGTTTAACTAATGAATCATAAATTAAAGCTTGTGCTTCATTTATGGTCTGAAGAACCTGGGCGTTTTGCACCTTTTGTTTTTGCGGCTCAGGATTATATAAATTATATAATTCATCAATATCTTCTTCTGTTAATACTTTATTTTTGAAATCTTTCAACTGTTTAAGTTGTGATTTAGTTTTTCCCTTTGTATATTCATTATTTTTAATTTTGTCTTTAATTTCAGAAATTATTTTATTATGATATTTCAAAATTTCATTTTTATAATATGGATAATAATATTCCATATCATCACCCGTTATATTATTATTATATTTTTGGAGATATGATTTTAATTCATAATAACTAAGAAAATTTTGATTAAGTACTAAATCATAAATTAAATTTTTTAAATCTGCGCTATCCATTTATATAAAAATAAAATAAGTGTTTTAAGGGTGCCCACCTCTTTGAATCATAGTATCAAAACCATTATTTATGGTTCCTTTTGTCTCTTCTGTGGCATTTCATTAAAAATAAAATTTTAAATTGTATTAAATAAATGGCATACAACATCCATTTTCACAACATACAGCCTTAGTGTGTGCTCCTGTTAATGCAGTCTTACCGATTGTTAAGCGAGTCATTGACCCGTTTTTAAGTTGTAAATTAATATTTTGACCATCAAATATCACTTTATCATTTATTATATCCAAATAATTTTTAGGTGTTAATTGTTTATTTTGTCGTAAACTAACACCTTTCATTTTTTGTGCAATCTTTTTAAAACTTCCATCAATTGAACCGTTGAATGATGTATAACACTTAGGACATAAAGCAACCATGTTATCACCTTGTTTCTCAATTGCTAAACCCAATAATTTTTTCTCATGTGCTTTTTCTTCAGCTTTATTCTTTAATTTAGGTTTAAATTTCTCATCAAAACAGAAGAAATCAAATGGTGCGAATTTGAAAATGTTTTTATCATAAAATTGTTTATCGGTAACAATTGCTTGAAATGCTTGAGTGTTAGGAAGATTTGGGTCGCCAGCGATTGCCCAATAAGATGAATCAGTATCACCTTCAATGAAATGAAAACGATTAACATTCAAGCATTTATACATAAAATCATAAATGAAAACTAAATACCAGTATTTAGCATTATCTAAAGTGAAGAATGCCTCTTGTAAACATGTATCACATCTATAAAATCTATCTTTAAGCATCACTTGATATGTATCCTCACCTATTTCTCTTATGTTTTTAAACTTATTTGACATACATGCAACGCGTGCCTTCTGTGCATTCATTATTTTAGTCTTTGCGTAATTTTGTGTATTCATTGCATCGTAACCATATGATCCATTAAGTGAAATTTTGCAAAATAAACTTTTTCCTTTATTTCCTTCTAATTCAGCCTTTTGTCTTTCGTTCATAAATTTGTTCGCAAATTCATTAAAACAAGTGTTTTTCGTAAATGTTAAAATTGATTGAATATCATCGATGATAAAATGAAATCTGTCTATTAGATACCATAGATAATAAGAAGAAAATGGTTGATATTGGTTGTGTGTTGATGCTAACTGAGTTAATTTCCTCTGTTTCTGGTCAACTGGTAGATTGTTTGATTTCATGTAATTATACATAAAACTACCAATTGTTTTTTCATCTGTGATAATATCTAAGTTTCTTATTATCGGTAAAAAGTTTATGTAATCATTAATGTATTTTTCATCAATGTGACCCTTTACTTCAGCCACGAATAAAGTATTTTTCTTCTTAATTATTCCCAGTGCTTTTGCTTTCTTTGTTGCTGTATCACAAATGATAACACCATTCAATCTTCCCGGCATATACATTTTATGGTCAGTATATTGAATGAAATCATGAGGATTAGATGAAAATGATGAAGGATATAATGAATTAAAATCAACACCAACGAAATGAGTCATAATGTTGGTGGTGTCCTCATTTGATACAGTTTTAGTTTCTGGACTATATGAAAGTTTATTAATGTGCGTGATTCCTTTAAGATTTACTCTATGTTGAACATTTGATAGACCACCAGTAATTCCATTACGGAGAATGTGATAAGCTTCAACTGAATCTAAAGTCATTGGTAAATTATTTTTTAATGCATAATTTCTTAAATTGATTCTTAAACGTTGAACATCTTCATTTTTATTTGATTTTACGACATTGCAATAACAACACATTAACTGACAATTTTCTTTGGTATGTGGTTTTTCATTATCGATTCTATCCAATGTTGGTTTATTTGCATATGTAAACGCTTTACCACACATTTTGCATTTAGATGAAAGGATTAAATCGTGATAGTATTGAAAATCATCCATTGAAACATTATTTTTAGTATCCCTTTCTGCTTTTTCATCTTGTTTCTTATATGATTCAATTTTATATTTCCAATACTTTTTCGTTAATTCAAAACTTGATTCTATCTCTTCCTCAGGATATTTTTCATTAGGATTAAAGTCTTTATATGCTAAAGCGTAACGAATCATTGAAGCATTCGATGATAAAGAAAGATTATGAAGCATATCAATTTTATAAACAAATGTTTCTTCAATAATTTTATCAATTGGGTCAATCATAATTTCAACATCTTTATTGCAATAATGAATAAAATATTCTAATCTATTCTTAAAATTTTTAGCATCATTGAGATATATTTGATAATCACTATCTGATATAGTTTCTTGGGTTAATGCTGAATAAAATGAATCTTTCGTGAATGGTTCCTCTTTATATAATTCTTCTTCGTAATTCTCCCATGTGATGAATTGATAAGGGAAAAAGGATTTAACACGTGTTTTATTGTTTCCGAAATCTTGAGTGAATTGGTCTAATGTCCCACCCGCTATATAATTTCTGATGTCAATAAATCTCAATTCATATGAAACGTTTGTTTTCTTTACAATGATTTGCTTAAATTGAGAAGATGAACCCAGCATTGATTTTATTTTCCATTTTGCAGTGTTTAAATCATGAAGAATTAAATTTAAATCAAACTTTCCCGAATTAAAACCTATGATATTCACTTTATTGAATTCCTCATCTAGAAGTTCTTTAAATGCTTCCTTCTGTTTTTCATTTAATGTATGAGACTTCAATAATTCTTCATATTGTTCAATATTTGATTTAGCAACTAATGAACAGGTTGAAAATAAAAACTCAATCCAATCAGAAATAAAAGAATCACTTGAAGTTAAGCAAAAATTCCTCGTATATGTTTTATCATTTAATTTAACCGTTGATGATACCATGAATGGTTTTAAGTAAGCGTTCAAAGTTGCACACTCAGAAAGTTGTAATTCTTCTTTAGTCTCTAATGTTTCGAAGTCAAAAGTAATATAATATCTTGTCGGTTGATAATATTCCTGCAAATTGTGAGCTAATAACCACTGATATATCTTCTGTTTCGTAATATGTGGTGCATATGGTTGCTGTCTTTTGCAATTGAACGTCTTGAATTAATCTTCCATTATTTTCTTTACATTTCTCACAATGCTTTAAAAATCTTCTTTGGTTTTCCTTTCTGGATCATCACGGATAGAATAAACTTCTTCTTTACAATATGGACAAACTTTATAGCCAGTGAGTGCTTCAACGTCTGTTATTCTGTCAGCCTGAAGTTTTCCACATGGACTCTGTGTTAATAAATATTTACTGTTCAAATTCTGGATCTATCATTATTGATTCCACTAATGGAAAGTCTACCTTATTTATGTCCACGTCTTCTGGTTGAGGATCACAATAATAGAAATCAATATTAACATTTAACATTCTCGCTAATCTCTCACTTTCTGATGAAATGTCAAACCCTTCATATGCATCTATTGCTTCATTTAAATAGCTTCTACGAGTTTTAGGATTAACACCATCAGGAATGTTATAGAAGCGTTTAAATAACCTTCTACCTTCTGCTCTAATTTGATTATCATTCATTTTAGCTGTTCCGTTTTTGTTCATTTATGTAAGAATAAAAAATTAAAAAATAAATAAAAATAAAGTTTATTTTTTAAAGCCCATAAAATGAATTAAGAACACATAAATTTTTATCATCCGCGACGTGACGAATACATTTTAATTTACTCAAGAATGCGTACCCTGATACATTAAATCTAATTCCTGTCTTATTTAATTTCACAACTTTGAAAAGGAATGTATGAATAGCTATAAAATGATGAGAAGATGTTTTATGGGTTGCTTCCATTTTTTCTGAAATAAATGAATAAATATAATGCTTATACGTTTTCATATCTTTTATATTCTTAATAACGAATGGTATAGACCTTTCAACTTCGTCTTCCTTCGGTGCTGTTCTTTTATATGAAACATTATTAGTATCTTCAATAATGAAACCACAATCACACAAAATTTTATAGGTTCCAATGGTTTCTTTTGATATTTTATCTAATAAATCAAAAACTTTATCAACACCTGTGCATTTATTTAAATAATAATTTGTGTAAATATCATGATCTTCTTTCTTAATCGTATTAGTTGCATACGTCACGTTTTTAAGAGCTTTTTTGAATTTTTCGGAATCTAAAGGTGGTGAAAGTAATATACAAGGGTATTCTTCATTATCAATAAATTGTAACTTATGTTTACGAATAAATTTAGTACCTTCTTCTGAAAGTGTTTCGTCTATTTCACCATCTAATAAATTTTGTGTTGATTCTAAGACATAATTTTTATATCTTTCCTCATGAGATTTCTGAACTTCTGATTCTGAAGCTGGGATATTCATTAAACCCTCTACTTCATTTTCATTATATTTTTCAACTTCTCTTAATTCCTTAATTTTTTCATCTATTTCATCTCTTATTTTTTTCAGTCTTTCAATTTCATCGTATTCATCATCTTTAATTCGTTCTTCATAATATTCAGGGAAAACATCAGGTTCTTTAGGTTTTTCTTTTTTAGATGTGGGATATAAGAAATTTATAACATCATCTTTATTCATTTTTCCATCATAATCAAATTCATTTAAAAACTCCGCGAATTTTTTACAATTTCTTAAATAATATCTATCAACTTCATAACCCGCCTCCTCTAATATATCCTTTATTTCCTCATTTGTGAATCCTAAATTTTTAACATTGTTAGTTGTGACACTCATTTCTTACGAATTAAAAAAATAAATTATTCAAAAATGTAAGACATGAATTTTCAATTTCTTCTTCTCGTTTATGAGGTCTTTGATTATGACTCCATTGATTCCATTCAGGATTTAAACAATGTTTAATTAATCGCGGAATATCTGACATCATCTATATATAGCTTCTTTTATAAAAGATAAAAAAATAAATTATTTTAAAATTAATGTTAATTTTTTAAATAAATATATTTTAATGCATCGTCTATATATAGATGTAACAAAAAAAGTCACACAACCCATCATATTCTACTACTAATTTGAAAAAAATTATCATTTTAAATCGAGAATCAAATTAAGTTCTGTTTTAAGCGATGAGCAGATGTTAAAATAAACTACGGTCAGATACAAAAGATTCACAGAGAATTTCCATTTCGCCAATAGATTTGAGATCAGAAATTTGGAATTTATTATATAAATCAGAACTAATCATGCCAAAATATCTTGAATTTCGTAAACTTTAAAATTATCTTGTAAAAATTAAATTCTGAAAGATTGGCTGGCCAATAATAATTTTCGGTGGATTATTTTTTATAAATCGTTTAATAAATTATTATGTATACAGTTTATTAATTCGAAAATGCAATGAAATAATGAAATTGGTTCTAAAATTTTTCAGGGAACAGATGATGACTTCACTTTATATAAATATTCTGTTAACTACAAAGAAATACATAAAATGCATAAGAGGTGATTTATCTCTTCAATTTTGAGATCTAAAATTGTCAACTCGTATAATTGTTATATTAATGATGTAATTAATATTAAGATTTATTTGAACAAAATTATTTCGGTTCCAATCAAGATTTTGTTTTTCAGACCCATTCAAATTAAACAATGATTTTTTCAATCAATGTATAATTATACTATTTACATGAATTTAAGTCAGATCAAATAAAAAATCATCAAAAAGTATCCAAAAAGTCATTTTTTTGTCATCTTGTTTTCTAAATGGGAAATAACCATCTATAAAATAACACAGGACAAAGGGGTTAATGTTCCGTTATAAAATTCTTTCAAACAATTTGTTTCAATTTTTTTGGCCCAAAAATTTTTTATAATTTTTTAATGTCGACAAAGCAACGCTACATTCAACAGAAGATTTTATCATCCTCTCAGAACTCTAGCACCGAGATCTGCTATGATCAAATGGAAAAGCGCACCGTTGTACTTAAAAATTTCCGAAAAATGTAAAACCACTCGATCGCTTCTTAGAAGAGGTTAATGCTCAAGCATTTATCTCCAGTACCGGCGTCATACAGACATATTCTGCTTTTGAGGAAAATGACAATTATGTCTTAGTGATGGAAGCCGGAAAAACCAATTTGATGGACATAATTAAACACGGTTGCCTTTCTGAAACGCTAGTTAAGAGCTTATTACCAAATGTTCTTGTCGGATTAAAAGATCTACACTCGAATCACATCGTCCACAATGATGTCAAGCCAGAAAACATAGTCCTCTGCCTTGATGGTAAGATGAAAATTATAGATTTCGATTTAGCGACAATCCATGATAAAGAAAAATGTAATTATGAACACGGAGTTTTCGGAACATGGCCATATATGTCACCAGAAGTTGTTGACGGAGGCGACCACACAGAAAAGGTCGACGTTTGGTCCATGGGAGTTGTCATGTATGTTGCTTTGACAGGTGTTTTACCATTTAAAGCACCGAACCAAACAACCTACTTAGATAATGTCAAGCAGCAACCATTTAATAAGATATTACTTGAGAAAGTTCATTGTTCTCGTCAATTAATTGATCTAATTTCAACAATGCTCACAAAGGATCCTGCAAAACGCCCTACGATTAGCCAGTGCTTGAAGCATGAATGGTTCAATTCGTATTAACTCTTATAGATTTTTTATATTAGTTATCGGTATTTTTTCATGTTTAATAAATCTTGTTTGAATCTGATTTATTGCTAATTACTTCTTTTTTATTATTTATTGTGTCGATTTAGCTAATTAATAAGGATATCTTTGAAATTGATTTGCATATTAACCCCAAAGCCTTACCTTAAGAACTAATCACTTAGTATTTAAGTGAAATGTATTGATCTATCCTCACCAATGGCCTAATTATTGTGATTTTTAAATGATCGCATTGTTTTGAATTTATTACTCTGCTCAACTTTTTTTCTTCTATGAGAATCATTGTCAACCATTTTTAAGATTATTTTATAACTAAGTCTTCATGATACTGAGTTCTTCATTATAAATATCTCAATTGATTAATAAAATATTGATTTAAGCTAAAATACATTTCAATAATGAATAAACACAAGATAGGCAATCAAAGCCAAGGATTTCTGGTATATCAAAGACACAATAGAGAAATTTATAAAACTGTTATTTTGATTGCCATTTTGGATAACTCAGTATATCAACTATACTCCTTCTTAATTTAACAATAGTTCAGTTAAAAATACACTTGTTGAGCTGAGGGTAATTCAATGAGTTCCTTGTTTTTCAGGAGACCTTCAGATGTGAGAGCAGAAGAAGAACAAGGAATGGAACACCTGGTAGAAATCCAGAATACCCTCAAAGAACTTCGAAAAAGTACAGATGAGGTTGAAAAACAGATGTTAATCAATCAATTTCTCATTCATTTAGATAGTTTCATTCTCCTTGCGTCAACAAAATCGATAACAAATGCAAATTTCAATAGTATTTGCAAAGAAATGCTTGAATATTCCTCATTAATCGATAATAACGCTGCAATTACATTACAATACATGAAAGTGCTGACGAAAGCATACGGTATATCACAATTCTCATTGAATTGTCGCAAATATTGTAATATTTTAATATCAGTTTGCAAAATATCAAATCAATTACCGGCAATTCTATCATTCTCACAGAATTTTTTCGAAACATTCCTTCGCAAACCGAATTTTATATCTGACTTTTCATCCACATCCAGTTTTGAATACATTTTTCAGAATATTTTTATCAATTCTGATAACGAACAAGCGGCAATCTATGTTAATACATTACTATTCAATCAAGATCTCAGACCACAATATAAAAATGTCAATTATCTCGATTTCTTTCAATTTGCCGCTCTGAATATCAGAGATGATAAGATCACGGATTCACTTGCGGAACAATCAGCATTGTTTATATCAAATATGTTCCAATTTGTATCATCAAATTCACGTCAAATTACAAAATTTTTCAGTCAAAATTCCCTCATAATCTTTGACTGTTTAGTTTCAAAGACAACCTTCGAAAAACGTGCTAACTGCTACAAGGCGATGCTTTATTCACAAAATGAAGATGGTTCTTCACCTCCAAATTTACAAATTTACAAACATCTTTACAAAATTTTTGTTGAAACATCTCCTATGCAACAATCAATTTTCCTGATGATTTCAGAGTTATTTACCAAGATTCCAGACTCGATTTCAAAACTTGACCAAATTATTCCAACACAAAATTTATTTAACTGGAATTTTCCAAATTTAAACGTCATGGCCACTTTTCTTTCAATTCTTGACAAAACACAGCCAAAACTTGTGTTTAAATGTCTTCCTATTGTGTTTAATTGCATCATAAGAGTAGAACCAGAGATAGATTCCCTTGTCATGATATTAAAAGTGTTAATTGGTCAAATAACAATGAAATATTTAACTTATAACATGATTTTAGAAACTAATTTTCTTTCTGCTTTTGTTGTCCAATTATCTCCAAATATAACTGTCCAATTATACTCCAAATATGAAAACTTTGCATCATTAGTTTTGAGTTTGTATTCATTAGAAGGTGCAATTTCATTTAGACCTTCTGTTTTCAAGGCAGTTTTGAATTTGAAAATAGAAACATTGAACAAATTGTTAACAGCTTTTCTTTCAATTTCTGCCGAGTCGAGTATCATCAGAATTTTGTTAGACTTCATACAAAAAACCGGCCAAATTGAATTAATTCAATCATTAAATGCGGTTTTAGTTTTTTTCACAAGATGCAGCGATGAATTTTGTTATAAGTAATGGTATTTCATGGGCATTTGATAATCTAAAACTAGAAGATCTCGTTGAGTTATTAGCAGCTTTAGTATGTACTAGAAGATTTGATGAATTAGAACATAAAATTGCAAGTTTGCCAGATAATCATCCACTTTTTTCTGCTCCACAAGATTTATTGGAGAAAGTAATTTTCGGATTAAATAAAGCAACTTGCAGACCAATTCGTGTTCATTCATTAGTCCATTTACTTGAGAAACCAATGAAATTGGATCCTTACAACGCATGGTTACTTGGAAATAGTTTTATTGAACAATCTTTGAAAAGAACAAAAGATATTTTTCAAGTTCCTATGATTGATCAAATCGCAAATCGTTTTTTGCAAGCGAAATATTTGAAATTGTTATTGGAAAGGCCATATGAACTTGAAAGATTCTGTGATACATCATTTGACCATTTCCAATTATTCCAATTTTATCCAGGAAATTCGGATTTATCGTTCGAATTGAATTTTTCAGCTGTCACTTTTTGGTTTAGAACAAATAATAACTTAATTCATAGTTTAAGGTTTATTAAGACAGATGTATTGAATATATCATTAGATGATGGAAAATTGATAATTAATTGCGATGATCAAACAAATTCCATGAATTTAGATTTAACTAAATGGAATTTCATTGCAATTAAAGTTGAATCATCATTAATGAGTTCATCATTGGCATTGAATGTTAATGGACGCGTTTTCACATTCCAATTAAAGGCGAAGAGATCTAATTTGACATTTTGTCGATTTTGTGCAGCTACAAAAGATTTAATATTTTTAGGATCTGCGATTAGATTTTTTAAAACAAGTCTTAAGATTTTCACAGAATTTTTTAATTCATCAGCAAGTTGTGTTATCTCATTATATGATGATGAAACAATTATCACGCCAATTTCACTTGAGAAAGGTAATTTTGATGTTTATATTCCATCGAATTGTGTTTTAGTTCCATATTTCGGCTTTCCTATGTTGTTTTTGTCTAATTTTCCACAACGAAAACTATTAGAAAGTTTTCATAATTCACATAATGAGAAAGAGTTCAGTTCAGTTTTTCGTACATTGTTAAATATCCAAGAGATTACACATTATGAATCAGAACGATTTTATTAGATCTTAATTGGTTCTATTTCTAATTCACACAAATTTATTTCGAAAAATTTGTTTTTAGAATTTTTAGTTTCATTATCCAAGAATTCTAAATCAGAATCAGCATTGACAAGCATTCTTCTCCACAAGAAGATGTGTGATAATGTTAACAACGACATCCTTGTTGAAAGTATTTTCGTACAATTCAATGAAAATGATTTTCGATCTGTTGCTAATTTCGAAATCTTCTTGACAAAGAAAATCATGGATAACCAAGGATTATGCAAAATGATCATTGCAATCTTAAAAAATATTAACAAAGTTCCATTGTTGAAACCATATCTTAACTGTTTATTACATATTGGTTCCGATGAAATGAAGTCTAATATTATTAATGCACTTACTGAATTCATTGATAAATTCACATATGATATTGTTCTTTCTATCTGTCCATTTGATTTTCTTGTTGAAATTTGTTTAGTTGTTTCCACCGAATTGAAGATCAAAATCATTCATTTGATGTCTCTCTTGAATTCATATGATAATGATTATGTTTTACCCACACGGATCATGCAAAAAGTTGTTTCTGAATGCTTTCTTTCAGACAGTATTTGGAAAGATATCATTGTTATTTTAGACCAATCTCATCATCCAGATATTTATAATTTAGGCATTGTTTTGATTAGTTTTGGCACAATTAGCTGTTGGTCTGGTAATACTCAATTAGAGAAATACGTGAATGATCTTTCATTATTTATTTTGAAAAAGATCAATATATAGGGTGTCCAAAGGTGCGTTTAGCACAGCGCTCTATATGAGACTATTAAAGGAGATATATGCTGATTATAAATATATAATAAAAAATATGAATATATGTATATGATGAGTAAGTTGTATTTTGGCGCCATGCCGGGATATAAAATGAATTTTGAGACAAGAGGCGGTTTCGCGGGAAATTTTGGCGGGATTTTTTTCATTTTTTTAATGAATCATAAAGAAAACATCCTCGCTCTTGCAAAAAAATGCAAAGACTGTAAAAAATCTACGAGACATTGGTAAAATGCTTCGGTATGGATGCTCCTAGCTATTCCACTGTAACGTATCATGTTAGGATGTATCACTTCATGAACAAAAAGGCGCCCATCATAAAAATTGACAAAAAAATCGCCGGATCAAAGAAAAATCAAAGCAATTCTTCAAGCGCTAGATGAAGACCCAAGAGCATCACTCAGAAGGATAGAGGAGATGACAAAGATACCACGTACAACAGTCAGTTATTATCTGCACAATTATTTGAACTACAAACTAGCGTATACACGTTGGGTTCCGCACAACCTTAATTCAGTTCAAAAAAAATCTAGAGTCCAATCTTCGAAAGAGCTCCTCTCTCTATTGCGTGCGTATCAATCCAAGAAGTTTCGCTTTTTAGTAACAGGGGATGAGTCTTGGTTTCAATATGCAACAGAAGCCAAAATCATGTGGATCCCGAAGGATGAAAATCCGCAAACATTCCCGAAGAAAAAAATTGACACACCAATGATGATGTTGTCGGTTTTTTGGGGCGTGAATGGCATCATCGCAATTGATATTCTTCAAAAACCTAATACGATGAATGCTCAGTATCTAATTGACAATGTTCTTACTCAAATTATCAATTCTGATGAGTTTGAGAAATCCGAACAACAAAAACAAAAGTTTGCAATTCATTTTGATAATTCAAGAGTTCACAAAAGTCATAAGGTAATGAATTACTTGGTGGAAAACAATGTCAAAGTTGTTCCAAACCCAATTTATTCACCTGATATTGCACCCTCTGACTTTTATTTATTCGGCACGCTAAAAAAGAGAGCTGAAGGACGCGAATTCGCGAGTCCAGATGATCTTGAAAATTTTGTAAGAGAGCAATTTGAGCAATTTTCTCATGATGATTTAAAGCGTGTCTTTCAAGCCTGGATCGATCGCTGCGAGCGCGTGATTGAATCCAATGGTGATTATATTTAAATAAACTTTATATATATGTAACTTGTTTATTTCTATTCGCAGTATTCAGGTTTGTGCTAAACACACCTTTGGACACCCTATATTAAGTGAAAATCAGAATTTCGTTATCTGTCTTTCTACATGGTTGAGTTTATGTTTAAATATGATTTACTTGAAAGATCGTACCAAATTCAAATTTCTTAAAAGTAATTCCGAAAACATTCATATTGAAGTTGATGATAAAATCTGGATTAATATTGACAAAGTCTTAGAAAAATCATATAGGATAGAAACAGTTGACATCAATGGTATCGAATATTTTGATAAACTTATTGATATCAAAAACAGTAATATCAAGTTTTATCAAATCACACAGTTTTCTAATTTGATCAACAACTTTTTGATATTATCAAATCCAAGTTTTATTTGTAGTTTCATTCTTTCATTTGTTTCAGTTTCTAAAATCAGAAATGATCCATTGATCAAATTTTTGACTATCAATGTTTTGAACTATATCTTGACAAATCCACCGAAGACACAACAAATCATCAATTTATTCACATCTCTTCTATTCTTATCTAATTCTAATTATTTAGAAGGTTTCGAAACAGACATCTTTTTACACATCTTGACATTTATTAATTCGCTTTTAGGAAATAATGAAATAATTAATTCTATTTCATCAGTTACCGACTGTTTATTGATTAATTTATTCAGTCATTTATCAGAAGACAAAGTTCCATTGATTGTTAGTCACATTATTTCATGCATGAAAGCATTTTCTATTTTAGTTGATAATTCTAAATCACTTTATTCATGGATTTACATTTTATTATTATCTCATACAAACACATCTCTTTTCTTTGACAAGATCTCAAACAAAGTTGAAAGTGATATTCTTTCTCTTGCACGCAAAGGCGACATCACATATTTCGAACCATTTTACAAACAGAAAAGTATCGAAATCAGTCTAGTTATTTCATCTATTAATGTCAAAGATTTTGTTTGTAAGAACTTTCCATTAATCAGTCTTGAATATCATAAGAGTCGCGAAATTTCTGATTTTCACAAAGGTGTTTACGAATTGTTGATGAGTGAAGTTTTGAGTTCATTAAATTCAGAGTTCATTGTTTTAGAAGAAATGGTTTCATGGATGAGTTTTTCGACAGAAATCAAAGACCAGAAGAGTTCTATTGATGATTACAGTCCAATTTATTTCACCCTTTGTTCCCGTTCATTTCCATTTTATCCCCCTCGTTTGTTATCCCCATCATATTTCAGTCGTTGTGAAATCGAATACGATTATTACAGCAAGCAAGCAGTTGCAACACATCGAAACGACATTACTGATTTATTCTTGAAGATCCACAACAACGAAGGTAATTTGCTCTATAAGTTTAATACCGAATTATCACGTTTTTCACAGAAATTGCATTGTTCCGTTTTTTTCTTCGAAACATCATTTGATGTTGTCACATTTTCAGAACTTCAACATGATAAAATGATTCTTCAAGATTTAGGTCATGATGAAATGAAGAATCTTATCAACGAATCTATTCAAGGTGACTGGGGCAGTACATCCATTTTTGCTGGTCGAATTGTCATCAGCGTCAAATACTCACAATTAATTTATGTTCATAAGAATGAACAAAAATATATTTTTTGGGGTTTCGAATGTGGTAGTTTTATTTTAACATTTTGTAAACAGAATTCAGATGAAATCAGTCCATTTTTCAGTAAGATCATCGAAAAGTGTTTAGATTCACTTCCTCCTTTCCCATTCATTCATCGTGTTAAATCTATTGAAGAATCACTCCAAAAGTTCGCAAATGGGTTGATCACAGCAACAGACACATTATTGATCTGCAATGCATTATGTGGTCGATTCTTTGTTAATTGTGAAGATCAACCTGTTTTCCCACGTTTATCATTTTCAGAAGAAATTCTTAGTTTATCATTTCATAAGACACCAGTAGCAACAAGCAGAGCGACAGTCACATTTTCAAAATCAATTGTTCCACAAACTATTCAAAACACGAAGAAAGCAGAAATATTTCGACGTAATTCTACTCCCGACATTTTTTCATTGAAGAAAAAGAAGAAAATCAAGAATCCAACATTTTATGACATCGATAAAATTCCTACTATTTCTAAAGAATGTATCAGTCCATTGTTTATGTCTATTCCTGAACTTCTCAAATATGGTATGAAGACATCATCACATATCAACGAGAAACTCGAATCCGAGAAGAACTCTAAACATATTTTTTCATTTTGTAATTCATTGAAGAAATTCCAAAATTCAGAATTTGTTTCATTTAGTGCTAAACTTAAAATAACAAGTTCGCAGAAGAAGGAGATTATTTTTTGTCGCATATTTGCGCATATTATGACACTTTTTCTGACATTTTTCTATAAATTGAGAGCAAAAGTATTCAAAATTTTGTCAAAATATGCGCAAAATTAAGAACTGCGCATATTATGACACACGATTATTTTTGTCCGTTAATGGAAACAAAATCTCTATGCATTGCTTTTCTTCATGTCTTTCGCCTAAAGGTATGTTTAAAACAATATGTATGAGATACGTATTATAAAAGATTTGAAAAACTCACATATTATTATCAAATTTTCAAATTTTTATCGAGAAAATATTGAAATCAAGACGAAAAAATATTGTTCATAACAAAATATTATAAAGATCTAGCATCTACAAGAGTTTCAAAGAAAAACAACCAACTTAAATTTTCTACTTCAAAAATAAGAACATCTTTCAAGTGTGACAAGCAAAAAAAGAATACATACGAATAGTTCAATTTGAAATGAATGATATGTTTATGTATAAGCTAGATTTACCTACATTCGATAATTGCTAAACGTTCATAACTTTGCGAGATATTAAAGAGAATTTATCGCTATTTACGTTATTTTCGACAATATATCAATATACGGCGATTGTTAAGTGAGTAACTGAGGAAAAAATAAAAGATTTGATTAATCTGAAGATCAAAAGAAGATAACAAGAGAAAAAATATGAATAAATAAATGAATAATGAATAGAAAAAAGAAAGAAGAATATTGAAGATGATTAAATGAAGTTATTATAGGAAAATTAAAAAATATTACTAAAATTAAAGATATCTGACATGTTTACATATCTAATAATAATATATTTGTCATTTAAATCTATTTTGAATCATAGTAAACTATGATTGTCGTATGATTTAAAAGAATCTCTAAATATCAAGTCAATTTCTTATAAAATTGTTATCCATCTCTTACATTTTTTCATAATTACTACCTATATTATCAATCTCAACGATGACAATATCTTGTTATCAATATATTAAATTTAATTTATAAAATTCTTTTGTCTCATACTCGATTTTACTATATTATAGGGCTGTACAAGATTTAAAAAAACATTGCCGGGTTACCGTAGAGGCCTAAAAAAATCGCGCCTCGGCGGCAAGCCGCCTCGGCATTAAGAATGCGCATCTAAATTTTTATATGTCCTTCTTTCTTTTATTTTTCCCTTCCCTTCCTTTTCTTTTTCTTTTTTTCCCTCCTCTTGCTCTCATTTACCTTTTTTTTCCTTTTCTCATCATTTTTCAAAATTTAAAATTTTTATCAAAAATCTTGCCTATAAAAGCAGATTATGGAACCTTTTAATGCCTCTTAATTATGGCATTCCAAACGGGAACCGCGGTTGGTTACCATGGATTTCCGTCACCGGTCACATTTTAAAGATTTTTAAAGCCTTATAAAAATATGCTTTGTAAATCATTTTTTGTAAATCGGCAAAAATTTGGTAATTTTCTTCAACTAATAAATCTGCGAATAGCATTTATAATACAAGAACAATCTTTTAAAATGCGTTTGATTCATTTTTGTATAATTTCATATAGGCACATATATTCTTCCGGGACTTTCCGTGATTTTACCGTAAAATCATTAGTTTACACCAATTTTTCCGTATTTTGAATAGTTTACTGCACTTTTTCCGTAAAATTGAGTTACGGGAATCCGCAAAATTTCCGGACCTCATTTTTCATAGAATATAATAATAATATTTGATAAAAAGATATATTATTTATATTTTTGATTTTTGAATTACGGAAAAAGTGAATTGATAACTTGATTTTTTTATATGGTTAATTTTTCAAATGATATTATGAAGATCTAAAATATTAAAAGTAAAAAATTGAATTACGGAAAAAGTGAGGTCAAAAGTGAAATAAATTTGCAGAACAATTTTCATTGAAATAAGCTTTATTTTTCATTATTAATAACAATGCTGTAATAAACAGAAATTCATCAAAAGTGACAGCTCTCAATTTTTTGATATTTGTAAATTCTAAATTGAATGAGAAAATGAAATAATACTAAGCATAATACAATATTCTAGATTTAATTATAATTAGGAAAAAGTTAGTTTTGAGAGTACTTTTCATAGGCATATAGAATGAAATCTTCTGAAAAATAATATCATATAAACTCATATTATTTTCTAATATATAACTATTTTATATAAAAATCAAATTCAATGATCTTAAAAGCGAAGGATAAACCTCAAAATTTACGAATATAATGAGTGGGAATATAGTGCTTATCTATCATAAAACCATATGAAATATTAATTTTTGACGACAATTAGCAAAAAATGTTAAATGTTAACACTCAGTCCATTTGAATATGAAAAATAAAATTGACTTTGATTAAATGTTTTTATTTATCATGCAATTCTTCTTGCGACCAAAGATTTGAATAAAATTTCAAAAAATAAGATAGCTTAAAAATAATATACGGTAGTGTTTACTAATAGATGAATAGTATATAAATTCTATTAAAATGGATTTGATCCAAAAAAATATATAAAATTTGATCATAAATAAAATCGTTTTAAATTACTTCTTCATTTAAATTATAACAATTATTTTTGGTTTTATAGTTTTTAAAGCTCATGTGGTTTTTTTAACCACAGAATACTTATGTGCTGTAGCAAGCTTGCAATCCAAAGCTCACGTTAGACAACAAGAGTCATGAAGTCTCATACTAAGGGATATCCAACATATATTTTAATAATCTAATGTTTGTGACAAATATTCAACATAAAATTAAGTTTTCGTTTCGTTACAAGGCATTCATACTTTGGAGATATCATATTTAATGTACAGAAAAGTTAATATTAAACAATACATGCTAAAGAATTAATAAATAAGATAATAAAATAAATTTATACGTAATTACTTTCATTTAATATGCTTTATGCTGTATAATATTGATTAAGAGGCATTAAAAGGTTCCATAATCTGCTTTTATAGGCAAGATTTTTGATAAAAATTTTAAATTTTGAAAAATGATGAGAAAAGGAAAAAAAAGGTAAATGAGAGCAAGAGGAGGGAAAAAAAGAAAAAGAAAAGGAAGGGAAGGGAAAAATAAAAGAAAGAAGGACATATAAAAATTTAGATGCGCATTCTTAATGCCGAGGCGGCTTGCCGCCGAGGCGCGATTTTTTTAGGCCTCTACGGTAACCCGGCAATGTTTTTTTAAATCTTGTACAGCCCTACTCTTAATCAATATTATACAGCATAAAGCATATTAAATGAAAGTAATTACGTATAAATTTATTTTATTATCTTATTTATTAATTCTTTAGCATGTATTGTTTAATATTAACTTTTCTGTACATTAAATATGATATCTCCAAAGTATGAATGCCTTGTAACGAAACGAAAACTTAATTTTATGTTGAATATTTGTCACAAACATTAGATTATTAAAATATATGTTGGATATCCCTTAGTATGAGACTTCATGACTCTTGTTGTCTAACGTGAGCTTTGGATTGCAAGCTTGCTACAGCACATAAGTATTCTGTGGTTAAAAAAACCACATGAGCTTTAAAAACTATAAAACCAAAAATAATTGTTATAATTTAAATGAAGAAGTAATTTAAAACGATTTTATTTATGATCAAATTTTATATATTTTTTTGGATCAAATCCATTTTAATAGAATTTATATACTATTCATCTATTAGTAAACACTACCGTATATTATTTTTAAGCTATCTTATTTTTTGAAATTTTATTCAAATCTTTGGTCGCAAGAAGAATTGCATGATAAATAAAAACATTTAATCAAAGTCAATTTTATTTTTCATATTCAAATGGACTGAGTGTTAACATTTAACATTTTTTGCTAATTGTCGTCAAAAATTAATATTTCATATGGTTTTATGATAGATAAGCACTATATTCCCACTCATTATATTCGTAAATTTTGAGGTTTATCCTTCGCTTTTAAGATCATTGAATTTGATTTTTATATAAAATAGTTATATATTAGAAAATAATATGAGTTTATATGATATTATTTTTCAGAAGATTTCATTCTATATGCCTATGAAAAGTACTCTCAAAACTAACTTTTTCCTAATTATAATTAAATCTAGAATATTGTATTATGCTTAGTATTATTTCATTTTTCTCATTCAATTTAGAATTTACAAATATCAAAAAATTGAGAGCTGTCACTTTTGATGAATTTCTGTTTATTACAGCATTGTTATTAATAATGAAAAATAAAGCTTATTTCAATGAAAATTGTTCTGCAAATTTATTTCACTTTTGACCTCACTTTTTCCGTAATTCAATTTTTTACTTTTAATATTTTAGATCTTCATAATATCATTTGAAAAATTAACCATATAAAAAAATCAAGTTATCAATTCACTTTTTCCGTAATTCAAAAATCAAAAATATAAATAATATATCTTTTTATCAAATATTATGTTGTAAACAGAAATTCATCAAAAGTGACACCTCAGAAAAGCTAAAATATTGAATTTTTGGAACTTTTGATAGAGCACGTTTTTAAATATTAATTAAAGTAAATGTATATTTTGTAAAGATTCTTTTTAATAAAAAAAATAAAATTTTGAAGAAGAACACAAAATCTTCTGAAAAATCATATCACATAAACTCATATTATTTTCTAATATATAACTATTTTATATAAAAATCAAATTCAATGATCTTAAAAGCGAAGGATAAACCTCAAAATTTACGAATATAATGAGTGGGAATATAATGCTTATCTATCATAAAACCATATGAAATATCAATTTTTGCTTTACGCCTAATTTTTGACGACAATTAGCAAAAAATGTTAAATGTTAACACTCAGTCCATTTGAATATGAAAAATAAAATTGACTTTGATTAAATGTTTTTATTTATCATGCAATTCTTCTTGCGACCAAAGATTTGAATAAAAGTTCAAAAAATAAGATAGCTTAAAAAATAATGTACGGTAGTGTTTACTAATAGATGAATAGTATATAAATTCTATTAAAATGGATTTGATCCAAAAAAATATAAAACCAAAAATAATTGTTATAATTTAAATGAAGAAGTAATTAAAAACGATTTTATTTATGATCAAATTTTATATATTTTTTTGGATCAAATCCATTTTAATAGAATTTATATACTATTCATCTATTAGTAAACACTACCGTACATTATTTTTTAAGCTATCTTATTTTTTGAACTTTTATTCAAATCTTTGGTCGCAAGAAGAATTGCATGATAAATAAAAACATTTAATCAAAGTCAATTTTATTTTTCATATTCAAATGGACTGAGTGTTAACATTTAACATTTTTTGCTAATTGTCGTCAAAAATTAGGCGTAAAGCAAAAATTGATATTTCATATGGTTTTATGATAGATAAGCACTATATTCCCACTCATTATATTCGTAAATTTTGAGGTTTATCCTTCGCTTTTAAGATCATTGAATTTGATTTTTATATAAAATAGTTATATATTAGAAAATAATATGAGTTTATGTGATATGATTTTTCAGAAGATTTCATTCTATATGCCTATGAAAAGTACTCTCAAAACTAACTTTTTCCTAATTATAATTAAATCTAGAATATTGTATTATGCTTAGTATTATTTCATTTTTCTCATTCAATTTAGAATTTACAAATGTCAAAAAATTGAGAGCTGTCACTTTTGATGAATTTCTGTTTATTACAATTATTATTATATTCTATGAAAAATGAGGTCCGGAAATTTTGCGGATTCCCGTAACTCAATTTTACGGAAAAAGTGCAGTAAACTATTCAAAATACGGAAAAATTGGTGTAAACTAATGATTTTACGGTAAAATCACGGAAAGTCCCGGAAGAATATATGTGCCTATATGAAATTATACAAAAATGAATCAAACGCATTTTAAAAGATTGTTCTTGTATTATAAATGCTATTCGCAGATTTATTAGTTGAAGAAAATTACCAAATTTTTGCCGATTTACAAAAAATGATTTACAAAGCATATTTTTATAAGGCTTTAAAAATCTTTAAAATGTGACCGGTGACGGAAATCCATGGTAACCAACCGCGGTTCCCGTTTGGAATGCCATACTATATTAATACTATCGCATCATAATATTTCTAATTTCATTGTTATTCATCGTTTCATCATCTTTTAACTATTTTAATTACATCGTTTTTCATTAATTCTTTTTCTAATTAACAAATTAAATAATTATTAATAAATAAGGTTTTCACTTTTTTAAATCTGAAAATTACTTTTTTATGAAATTAACAATTAGATATCAAAAGAATGTAATTCTACTTCATTCTAACCAAGATGTTCATTGTTTAAGTTTATACCTTTATATAGCAAGGAAATTCAATCTGAATTTATATTCTTTTGTTATTAAATATAAAAGAAGGAATTTCATTCAGTTGATATAATTAAATGTTTCAATGATATTGATTTAAAGGTTGTAAATGTTGATCCACCCACAGATGTTTTCAATTTGCCATTTTTTGATATGTATCAATTAAAAATTAGTAAATCACAAGAATATAATTCATTAACATCAATGGGATTCGACAAAAATGTTGCAAAAATAGCACTTATTATAACGAAAAGTAATTTACAAGCAGCATTAAAAATTTTAAACTTTAATTTTGATCAAAAATCGGAGGATGAGTCAGAAGAGGAGGAATCCAAAGAAAATGGAACAGAATGTAAGAAAATGGAATCGGAAAGTAAAGATGCTACTATAGATGTTGCTGATAATGATAATGGTGATACAAAATCAATGGAAGATAAATGGCCATTAGGATATTCTGATGAATCACCATCATCATTGGCAGAATTGAAAAATACAGAATGCCAAATATTAAAATTTATTGAAAAACATTCGTCGGAAAACAGTCAAAAACAATCTGAACAAGAAGAACCATTTAATGAATTTGAGTTTGAAAATGAAAGTTGTAATATATTACAAAATAAAGATAGGAATCAAGAAAGAAGTTTACAATCCATTGAAAGAAATCAAAATTTGACAAATCAAGAAAGAAGTTTACAATCCATTGAAAGAAATCAAAATTTGACAAATCAAGAAAGAAGTTTACAATCCATTGAAAGAAATCAAAATTTGACAAATCAAGAAAGAAGTTTACAATCCATTGAAAGAAATCAAAATTTGACAAATCAAGAAAGAAGTTTACAATCCATTGAAAGAAATCAAAATTTGATAAATCTTCATGGAAATGTTCAAATTTCACCTTCTCGTTCTAAAAGAATTAATCGAACGGCAATTTTTAGGATACCTTCAAATCCTCCAACTTCTGAAAATCAGAGTTCCGTACAAAGGATTGTTTCTAATCCTCCAACTGTAGATAGTACAGTTCCATTGCCATCACTTTCAAACATTACTCATTTTACTGATAATCTTCCCATTGATGATCTACTCAATTCAAACATTCTAATTCAAAATGCATTTCAATATCAAAAAACTAAATCAAAAGTCCAAAAAGCTGCCATTACAGAAGATACATGCAAACAATGTGTTCCTAATTATATTATCATGAATCAAGATGAGCAAGACAAATGTAAAATAAGAATAAAAAACATTCTAAGAACATATCATACTTTTCAAATATCTGATTCAGATAAATTGAAATATCAAAGTGTTATATATCCAGAAGGGATCCCTATTCGCTTTCAAATATATTATTCAAAAATTGATCGATTGGAAATTGTTTATTATTGTGCCAAAAAGAAAAGATGTTCTTATTCTCAACTTGTTACATTGTTCCCAGCAAATACAGGCAAAAAAGCTGAAGTTTGTGAAATTAATCCTCCACATCGATGTCCAAAACATACAAAATCTCCAATTATTGATGGTACTAACCAAAATAAATTAGAACTTGAGAGTGAGATACAAAATTTCATTCAGGTTAATCCTATTGTTTCATTAAGTCAGGTAATAGCATTTGCAAATCAGCTTGTGTTGGAATATAACGAATCTCACGATGATATTATTGAAATATCGTCTGATGTTATCAGAAGGTTGTACCAGGAAATTAAACCAAAAATGAAAATGAACGAAGATGAGTTGATTAAAAAATTACTTGAACATTATAACAATCAAAATTTCTATATTACAAAAATTTATTCCAATATTGATGATTCTAAGTTTTACTTTTTTGGATTGCCTTTATTCATTAATCGTGCACGAACTTTAAAACATTTGTTCATAGATGGTACATTCAAAGTGGTACCAATAAATCTCTCAAATGGTCAATTATTGAATTTCTTGGTATTTGATAATGCTACAAATTTATATCTCCCTTTTCTACATGTTTTGATGACGGGAAGAAGTGCTGATGATTATAATACTGTTTTCAATATGATGTTAACACATGAACAGATTAAAATTGGTCTTAATCAATTTTCCATCATCACAACAGATTTTGAAGCAGCTTTGATGAACTCTATCAAAGAAAAGATCAGCAAAGAGACAGTTCTTACTGGATGCATATTTCATTACATTGCTGCGCTTGTAAAGAACTTTAAGAAGTTGTGCAATCAAGATGATCATGCATCCAAATCTTTATTAAAATTATTATGTGGGTGCCCATTCGTTCCTAATTCAGTTTTTAAACTTATCTGTTCCAAGTTAGAATTAATTAAAGATACTTCAAAATTTGCCGCTTATTTCCTTCGCACATGGAAATATAAATACGAAGAAATAAATAAAATGAATGTGAAGGATATGATTTTTTCGAATAATGGCGTGGAATCATTTAACAAGGTACTGAACTCACACATAATATATCCACATCCAACAATTTTCCATATGATATATACTTTACTTCAAGTTGATACAGTAATCGCTCATAGATATTTAACCAATCAACGAAACCAGTATGATCATAAAAAATCGTACTATATCTCGTTAACTAAAATTAATGAAGAATTATTTACTTTTGAAAGAAATTTTAATCTCGAAATTTCAGAAATACCAAAAGAAGAAATTGACAAATACAAAAATCAATTTCATCCAGGAGATATTGATTATCGTGATAATTGAAATGAGAAATTTATGAACAGGAATGATTCAGAGATAAATGATTCAATTAAAATAAACTTAGAAAATGATGAAGATGGAAAAATCACAGAATTTACATTAAATGAATCAGATGTATTCAATTGAAATATTTTTAAATGTTATAAATATTGTGTTTATTGAACAATTGTTAAAGTGTTTTTAGAATTTAATATATGGAAAGAATAGATGGAAACATTGAATGTTAAGTTATAAATTAAATTTAATATATTGATAACAAGATATTGTCATCGTTGAGATTGATAATATAGGTAGTAATTATAAAAAATGTAAGAGATGGATAACAATTTTATAAGAAATTGACTTGATATTTAGAGATTCTTTTAAATCATACGACAATCATAGTTTACTATGATTCAAAATAGATTTAAATGACAAATATATTATTATTAGATATGTAAACATGTCAGATATCTTTAATTTTAGTAAGCAAATTTAGAGATTCTTTTAAATCATACGACAATCATAGTTTACTATGATTCAAAATAGATTTAAATGACAAATATATTATTATTAGATATGTAAACATGTCAGATATCTTTAATTTTAGTAATATTTTTTAATTTTCCTATAATAACTTCATTTAATCATCTTCAATATTCTTCTTTCTTTTTTCTATTCATTATTCATTTATTTATTCATATTTTTCTCTTGTTATCTTCTTTTGATCTTCAGATTAATCAAATCTTTTATTTTTTCCTCAGTTACTCACTTAACAATCGCCGTATATTGATATATTGTCGAAAATAACGTAAATAGCGATAAATTCTCTTTAATATCTCGCAAAGTTATGAACGTTTAGCAATTATCGAATGTAGGTAAATCTAGCTTATACATAAACATATCATTCATTTCAAATTGAACTATTCGTATGTATTCTTTTTTTGCTTGTCACACTTGAAAGATGTTCTTATTTTTGAAGTAGAAAATTTAAGTTGGTTGTTTTTCTTTGAAACTCTTGTAGATGCTAGATCTTTATAATATTTTGTTATGAACAATATTTTTTCGTCTTGATTTCAATATTTTCTCGATAAAAATTTGAAAATTTGATAATAATATGTGAGTTTTTCAAATCTTTTATAATACGTATCTCATACATATTGTTTTAAACATACCTTTAGGCGAAAGACATGAAGAAAAGCAATGCATAGAGATTTTGTTTCCATTAACGGACAAAAATAATCGTGTGTCATAATATGCGCAGTTCTTAATTTTGCGCATATTTTGACAAAATTTTGAATACTTTTGCTCTCAATTTATAGAAAAATGTCAGAAAAAGTGTCATAATATGCGCAAATATGCGACAAAAAATAATCTCCAGAAGAAGTCAATTTGTAATATCCACAACATCATCACTCCACAAGTCATGTCTCTTAAAGCTAAGCACGTCATCTTTGATGGCGAAAGTATCCGATCATCACCATTAATGAGTCATCGTCTTCAATGTTCACGTGATTTGATTTTCCAACTTGACATTTCATCGATGTCTATCATTGTTACATCTATTCGCAATGGTAATGTTGTTTTCCGACGCACATCACCAACATTTGTTTACAGCACTGGCTTTTCATTTTCTGAGAACGGCCTGTTGTTAGTTGTTGATTATGCATTTTGTTTATCACGTTCATTCCGAATCAAATACGAACTTGGTATTCCTACCGAGATTTCATCATTGTCCGCCATTTCATTACCATCTAAACCTATTTCAGACATATGTGGATATGATTGTATTGTTGTTACATCATATTCATCCACATTTGTTATTTGGGATGCATTTTCAGGAACAATCCACTGTAAAGTTGATCTTTCTGAAAACATTGTTACATCCAAATTTGATGAATCTAGTGGTCTTGTCTGGGTTTTGACCGAGATTTCACTTTATTTGTATAGTATCAATGGCAGTCATCTCGCCCATCGTGAATTCAATAAATCTAAGACATCATCACTTAGTGTTTTTCGATTATCTAATTCTGAATCTATTCGCTATTCATTAGTTGGTTTTGTTAATGGCAATATTATTTTAACATCATATCGAGCGGATTATTCATTCATCGAAATTAAAGAATTAGAAAGTCCTCACCAACATAAAATCGTTTCTCTTCAAATCCACGGCAGTAACACATGTTTTACATCTAGTGACTCCGATCTTAATGTTACATTATGGACATCTATTGGTGTTCTTTCACCACATTTTCGTCACGAACTATTAACACGATGTCCTATCTGCGGCTCTATTTCATCAGAACAATGTCAATCATGTTCACGTCATTGCTGCAAGCGCTGCTGCATTAACGGCACATGTCTTTTTTGCACCGGATTATCTCTTTATGTTTAACTATTTATATATTAATAAATTTTACTCATTTGTTTGTTTCTTATATAAAAATATTATTTTTTATTAATTCATTTATTCATATTCTACTTAAGTTTTATTCTAAGTCACTACACAATATCTCTTTATATATGTTATGCAATCTCTCTTTCAATGAGTTATTTTTCTCGTTATTTTATGAATATTTTATTAAGTATAGATTAATTATGAACTTAAAATATATTCAAAGTATCATAATCGATCAATCTTTTTAATGAAACTCAAATGTTGTAATAATTTAGATTTTTACAATCGAAACATATATTTTTATAAAAATAAAGATAAAATGAGAGATAATAACAGATAGTATGAGAAATTCCACATTGATATCGAATACACATAAATAGAATATGAATATTTGATTGTCA